TGCCACAGAACACAGCAATTAATAAAATTGTCTGCTTTTATGTGGTAATTTTAAAATAGATTTTACGAGTTCAGTGAACTATTAGACAAAAACGGTCTGTTTTGAAGTCGATTGGGGCGGCAGGGAAAGGAAGGGTGGGGGACACTGTTATTTTATAGATTGACAAAAAAATTAACAAAGCCGGACATAAAGCACAGTAAGTGTAGACACACGATACAACGGCCGCTCTAAGTGGATCGTGACGAAAGAGTGACACCTCCACCCCTTCGCCCCAGGGCAGTACTACTAACTGAAATGTCTTTAGGCTATTCCCAAAGGCGGGATATTAACATGTTCTTATGCACAGTAGAATTGTAAATGGCTGATTTATCAATGTCATGCTCATACTGTGCCGGAACAACATAGGGGGAACTGTTGCTTTTACTTTCCCCATTCATACTATCGTCCTTATTCCTCTACTTCTTTTGCATGTTTGTCACTCTCTTGTGAACTGTTATTTCCAGTCGAAGCAGACTTTGTGCTGTTGAGGCAAGAGAGGTGAGCATAGAAAGCATGAGTCCACATTTTGACTTTTCTGTTAACATCCTGCCCCTGGCGCTCATACGACCGTATGCAGTTGCCAGCTCTGTAAAACCGTACTAAAACTTCCTGGAAAGTTACGCCTCCCGCTGGTGAGACAATAGAATATGTATATTCGCCAAATATGTTCAGCTAGTTGGACAATAGAATATGTATATCCGCCAAATTTGTTCAGCTGGTGGGATAATAGAATATGTATATCCCCCGACCTGTTTTAGGGGATAATTTTCTGAAACAGGAATAGCCAAAACCACCTTGCCTAGAAACCGCAGAGGGGGCTCTCGTGGTCTTAAGGTATGGTGCTCACCTCGTATTGGAAAAGTCTCAGAGCCTGACAACGACGAAATTTTTATCTCAAAATGTCTTCCCTTCAACTGTTTTCCTGTTCTCCAGTCCTGTTCTGTTATCTGCTTTCATTTCCACTTCACCCCTCCCCCCCCAACCCTCGACCTCCTCTGGGCTCCTTTCTCATTTACTCCTGACCAGGGGCGGCTGGTGGTTTGTAGAACTGACCGGCGGTAATTCCCATCGATACCTATCCTTCTCTCCCCCCTACCCCCCTACCCC